CATTAGTCCACAGTGCCACACCAGGACTCCCTTTATTTACACTTATGAGTAAAGTGAAAGAATCCTTGAAGGTACTGCCTATGTAAGACTTTGTAAAGTACCTTTGTATATTCACTTTGTCATTTAGGTTAATAGGAGTCCTGGTGTGGCGCTGTGGGTTAACGCACCAGACTGCAAAGCTGTGGCGGCTCAAGCTCACTAGCTGCTCCTCAGAAACCCTATACTGGGTCGCTATGGGTCGGACCTGACTCGATGGCACTTAACATTAGGTTAAGCTAAGACATCATCTCTATCTTGTAAACAAAAACAGATTAAATCAAGTATTAAACGGAATTTTCCTGACACTTTTTCTAATGACCACATCTGTATTCATCTTCTTTTTTTTTTTTTTTCTATATTGCAGCCTTCAGCTAATGGGGGTAAACTGTGGGTAGTTTTTTCTTATAAACATGTTTAATTCATCTCTCCAATGCCTCTAATTCAGATTTGTACAGTTAAATAATATGCTCTTACTGAATTAGTACTCCAATCCAACATTTCATTCTATCCCCTACGATATATGAGGGGGCTTCAAAAAGCTGATAATGAAAATTTTTTCTATGAACTTTTTGAAACCAACTTATAAAATGACACTAATTTTAGGGATTCCAAGTTAGGAGAAAAACTGCTTTAAGATCGATTAACATTTTCTATTTTTACTTATTAAGGAGCTCTGGTAGCGTAGTGGTTACGAATCGGGCTGCGAACCTTAAGGTCAGCGGTTCGAAACTACCAGCTGCTCCGTGGGAGAAAGATGAGGCTTTCTACTCCCGTAAAGATTTACACCCTCAGAAACCCCTGTACAGGGTCGCTATGGGTCGGAACCGACTCGACGGCACTTAACAACAACAACAACATTTTTACTTATTACTAGAAATACCACAAAAAATTAAAATGCATGCCCCATCTTTATTATAAATGTTTGGGTGTTTTTGTTTTAAAAACTTTTATTTTGAATTGAGTGAAGGTTTACAGAGCAGATCATTAGTTTTACATTAATCAAATCATACACTTGGTTTCAACTCAATTATTGCAACCCACTCCAAGTAATAACAGTCATCCCACTTCCTCCCTATTATTTCCATTCCACCCTCCTTCCCAATCCTTCTGAACTTTGTCCTTATATATGTTGCCCTTTTGATCTTGAATGGTTGACCATTCTATAGTGAGTAAACCTTATTGCATTATATAAACATGTTTCGATGTCAGGTAAACAAGGTTGGTGGCTTGAGCCCAATAGCCACTCCATGGGAGAAGGATGGGGCTTTTTGCTCCCATAAAGATGTATAGCCTTGGAAACACTATACAGGGTGGCTGTGAATCAGAACCAACTCGGAAGCACTTACCATGATTTTTAGTTTATAATTACAGATTTTCACAGACTTATGTAGTCAAGTCCTAATTCTGAGTTGGGGTTAGTTCCTAAGGAATGAATGAATATAGAGACAGAAAATGGTTCTGAAATAAAACAGATGTACTGTTGTGAAGTAGGACTCGGTAAAGCAAACCTATGAAGACATGACATTCCTCCTGGTTAAGTCTGGTTGCTCTGAGCAGGTGTGCAATGCTGTTCTATTTGACTTGCAAATTATGAAAGGTTGGTTCTGTCTGCTTGTTCTTTCCTCCAAAACTTAAGATTTATCGTTTTTAAGATTTCATTTAATAATTTTAAATATAAATTTAGGCAGATTTGCTTGACACGTGGGATCCAGTATTAAATGGCACTTTGAATTTCATTAACATTTTCAGGCAAGTTATAGTCCAGAAAGTTCTCTTTAATATCTATGCTAAATAAATAACATTTTACACACAAGACAAAACCATCAGACTTTTCTCTTGGTTAAATGTACAAAGGTGTATCAACTATTTCAAATTCTAAAATCAAGTATCTGCATATAGAAAATTAGCTTGATTAAACTTCTTTTCAGGTTTAATTATTCCTCCTTAAATAATTTAAAATTCTATACTGGACAAGACAGATATAAACGTATTTGTGCAAATTAACTTTAAACACAGTATGGCTTAAAAGAGGACTACACTTGAGTCATGAAATAGGAACAAAGTATTAAGGTACTGATGAGCAAATGAATTTCTAGACACTTAAAGAAATGGAGAAAAACATAAACATCACTTTTATATAAGCCAAGAAATTGGATCTGCAGGGTTTGTCTCTTCCCTTTACAAGCCTACAAATTTCTTGAAGAGATGTTCTCTGACACTAGGCACAACTCGCTCCACTCTTCCTATCACTCATAAAAATACAATCCATGCACATTTCAAAAATTACTGATAAATCTCGCCAATAATGTCTTAAAAAGTATAATCTCTGCTTTAAGAGATCACAATATTAAAAGTAGTTTAAATACTGCCATAATTAACAAGAATAACGGAGTCATTCTTAAAAGTATAAAATTGTTCCTTGTGCAGTGAAATCAAAATTTTTCAGAGAAATCTCATAATCAATATCCTGAGCTATAAAAATAACATGTTGATTATATTTACAAGTCATATCACTGATTGCTAATTTTATTTACATAAATGACAAGATTATCATTTACCAATTACAAGTCTACGGGTTTACTTGGTAACAGTTGAACTTTTCCAATAGGATTTTTGGGAGAACCTTTATACCAAGGCCTTTCTCTTTCTGATGATTTCCTTAGGACTCTGTTACTTGCCTCAGAAGAAAAGTCTATATTGTTATTTACAACAGATTTTAATATACCATAATTAGTCAAGTCATCCAATGGAACTTTAATTTGGTCATGAGACATCACTTTCTCTTTACAGATTCTAGCAGGCCCAAGAGAAGCATTCACTGAGGCTCTTTGGTGCCTGTTCAGCTTTGATGAAGATTTAGAAGCTAATTCCATGCTTGGCTGTTCCTGTGACATAGACTGCTGTTGGTTAAGACCTGAGCTGTCACATCCCACAGAGGAATCTTGGGGCATATTCTCTACATGTGAAAGTGCACTATCACAGCTCACTGCTTTCACCAGCGGAGAGGCAGCAGCTCCATGACTCACCAGCTTAGGCCTCACAGGTTGTCTGTTATACTCCAGCAAAGAATTAATTCGCCGGACAGACTGGCGGACAGGGGTACGCTGAAACTTCAGAGGTGACTTTACTTTTGTTCTATTTGGTTCATTTAAAGAAAGTTTATTAAACCATTGTATGTGGTCTGAAACCTTTCCAATCTCTGTTATCTGTGCACTTTCTGAAACCATTTTATCACACGCTTCCACCAGTGACTGCTGCTTAACAATTCTCACAGACTTTGGCTTTGCTAAGTTTGATATATTACATGTAATGTGCTCTAAGGAAGATGATTTAGCTACATCTGCCCTAGAAGCTGTGTGTTTTAGTAAGTTTTCATTAACTATTTTCTCACTTTCCATTAATTTAGTATTTAGCGTCTCTATTGGGATTTCCTGTTTCTTTATTTGTTCATCACCAGGAGACACTTGTTTGCTTGAAGATTCTTTCAGTATATCTGAATAAACACTGTGTTCAGCTTCCATGTTCATCTGAGTTGAATAACATTTTACAGTCGTTTCTTTGTCAAATCTTTGAGTTTTGTATGGTGAGAAGTCTTTCTCTGAAAAACTGGTTTCATCTTTACTTGTGTGGCGCTCGGACTTTTCCTTTAATTCTGTTATAGTTAAATCATTACTTTCAAACAGACTTTTCTCTGGGCTATGTTCTACATTTCGTGATTCATTTAATTTTACTTTCTCCACAATAATTATTGATGATTTTCTGTGATCTATCAATTCATGAAGATTACTTCCAGATTCAGAAAATGCTTTCTGAATTTTCACTAAAGTCTCTGTGGTCAAGTTCCTTTCATCCTCGCTAAGAGTGTTTTTATTTTCAATACTATTATGCTGACTGTGTACATTGGGAGAGGTGAGTTCATACGAAGTAACAGATGACTTCTCAACCGCAAGATCAGGCTCCACTCTCAGATTTCCTACTATCGGAGATATTTCAAATGCACCTATTTCCTGAAAACTTGAATTACTAGGTCCTGTCCAAGACATCCGGTAATTTGTTCCATCTTGTCTCTCAGGAGTTAACAAGTTTTCCTCAGACTTACTGATCTTTTTTGAACCTAAAATAAAGCATTTGAACAGTTTTAATCTTTTATATTTGACCTAGTTCTGAAATATTACTCAAACACATGACAGATAAAAGTACTAAGCACTTAACTTTAATATACTAAAGATCTGTAGAATTAGAAATAATTTTAAATAGAAAAGCATCAAATATTTCCATGTAAGTATCTTTAAATTGCTGGTGGAAAATCCAGATGTTTTCACACTACTCAAACATGAATTTTTAAAGATGAGGCTTTCTGCTCTCACAAAGATTTACAAGCCTTGGAAACCCTATATAGGGTGGCACTTAACAACAGCAGCATGGAAAATTAGTATATTTTACCATTAAAAAGCAACTAAAGCAGACTTGCTGAGTAAAACTCTAACAACAGTATGTAAGCATACCTTTCTTTGTTAATCTTTCACCAATATTTGGGCTAAAAAACAGACCTGTTTTAACAGATTCAATCCCATTTTTAAAACTTTGTTGATTTGCAAGTCTTCGACCAACATTTTCATATCTATTGATACCACAACATCCATTCTATACAGAAAAGAGAAATGAAGAGTTTTGGTTAAGAAATAAACATAGTAATTCAACATATTAAGACCAAGCTTTTTTGGGTAGTTTTTTGTAGTTACCCAAATCTTTTATAGCTGATTAAAAATAATATAATTAGGAAGCAACTTGATAACATAAACATACTTGCATGCTACTGACACTTGTAGGCTGTCATTTTTGATTGAAATACAAAATGTCACATATTCAGTCATTAAAAAAAATTAATTTGGGGGTTGACTTTGTGCCAGGACCTTTTCAAAGTAGTTAAAAAAAAAAGACCAAGATCCTGTTCCCATGGAGTTTACATTCCAGATGAGGAATTAGACAAAAGCAAGATAAATAGTAAATGACATTATATAATGCAGAAGATGAAAAATATTATGGATAAAAACAGAGTAAGTGGTGAAAGGTGAGTATAATTTTTAAAAGACCAGAAAGAAGAAAACTTTTGAATAAAGAATTAAATATGAGCATGAGAGCCATGAGTTTCCAAGAGAGAAGGACATTTCAGGAAGAGGAAAACATCCATGCAGTCTCTGAGGCTAGAGCAGGTCAGGCCAGTTTGATGAACAGTAAAGAGAGTTCAGAGGAGATGAAGCCGATTGAACAAAGGGAAGTAGCAGGAGCAGAGAGTAAAGAAGTAGGCTGCGAACAGTGCATATGTTGCCTTACAGATCAATGAAGAGCTTGACTTTTACTTATAGTGAAACGAGGAGTCAGTATAGAGTTCTGAGCAGCAGTGACATGATCTAACTTAGGTTCTGGAAGAATCATTTTGGCTGCAGAACTTCAGCAAGGGTGGAAGCAGGTAGACCTATCAGCAGGAGTTAGGAGATCTTATTGCAATAATCTAGGAGAGATGGCACAACTTAGATAAGGCAGAAAAAGTAAGAATTGGTCATCAGAATCTGGATATATTTTGAAAACAGAAGTTAAAGCAGACCAAATTCTCTAATGGATTAGACATAGCATGTAAGAGAAAGGAATCAAGACTATCTCCTTGGCTTTTGGCTGAAATAACTGGAAGAATGGAGGTGCTCTACCTAAGATGGAGAAGTCAGCTAGTAGAAGCATAGTCTGATGGATGAGAAGAAAGGGGAGATTGATGGCAGCAACTAAGAACTGCTTATCAGGAACTCTGTTTATGACAAATGATACTTGAGATGTCTACTGGGAAACTCAAGTAGACAGGTATTAAGAAGGCAGTCAAGTTGCTCAGGAAAGCAGTGCTGGAGATATAAAGTCTTAAGAAATATTTAAGATGAGCTCGAGTGAATGGAGAGAGAGAAGTCCAAGTGTTAGGCACTCCAGTGAAAAGGAATCTGAGAATTAGTGAAGAAGGAAGGAAATCATGAGAGCAAGGACGAGAAACGAGGAATTGTCTGTGTCAAATGCTACAGATAGGTCAAGTGAAATAAGGACTGATGTTTGACTACAGAGTCCTGGTTCACAAATAGTCAGGTGCTAAACAAAATGCTGGTGGTTAGAATGTGCTTGGTGGCTCCATGGAACCATCACCTACCGATATTCTCCAAAGACGATGACAGCCTAGAAAACTTTCAGTTTTATTCTGTCATATACAGTTGTCCTAAGTAAAACATCAAGTTAACAATAGCACCCTAACAACATTTGACCAGTGGCTTCAACAACATTGAATTTATTGGTGCTTTTGATGAAAACAATTTCATCTGATGAAAGGCTGACTGGATTATGTTTACAGTGACAAACAGGAAATGGAGACATTAAGTCTAGTATAAAAGCTCTGGTACAAAGGGCAGTAGACAATGGGACAGTAGCTGAAGGGAAGGCAGGGTAACCTTTTCCATGTCAAGTTTACATTTCTATGCTAATATAAAAATTATTGTTTGTCACCAATCAAGTGGTGAAAGACACTTACAACATCTCGGCTACTTTTCCCCAGACTAAATTTCAAACGAAGAGATCTTCGAACCTTTTCTTTACGACTGATTTTAGGAGAGAAGCAGCCAGCTTTTCCTGATTCTACCCTAAAAAGAGTGGAATTAAACATGTCAGTTATTTGTATAGCATAAAACACCAAAGAAATTCTTGCAGTAAGAAATTTAAGAGAAAACTGAAAGCAAATCATACTGCTAATAATTGAAAAGAGTAATATTTTTTCTAGAATTAGTCAAACTTGAAAACACCATATACGAATACACTGCATTTATATAGAGAGACCTGGCAGAGCTGGTACTTGATGGGACTGCCTTGTTTTTCTAGGTCTTGCAAGTTTTTTACCTTTAACAGGGTGCAGATTTACCATTTCTTTTTTACCACCTGATTTAGTAAAAATATTTGAGATTTACTTCTTGCAAAGGCTTCTGCTTTACATAGGTTCTGGCTTTCACAGGTTTTACTGAACATAAGAATGAGTTTTCCTATGAATTGTAAAGTTTATTAGTCACTTCTCATGATTTGCTTTAAACTAATAGGAATATCTAAATTTACACACAAAATAGGATTTGAAGCAAGTAAATCAGATTCAGATTAGAAAACTTTTTGTGGTGGGTATAGACAAAATGGAGTCCTGGAGTGGCACTGTAGGATACACATTGGACTGCTAACCACAAGGTTGGTGGTTCAAATCTATCAGCTGCTCCTTGGAACCCGTGTTGTGTTAAATGATGTCGAGTTGATTCTGACACATAGTGACCCTGTATATAGGGTTTCCAAGGAGTGGCTGGTGAACTTGAACTGCCGACCTTGTGGTTCAAACGGACTAGGAGTGCTGAGTCAGTGCCTTGACAGCACATAACAACAGCACAGACAAACCATTTTATAAGTCAGAGTATGAGGGTGATATAAATTTGTTACTATGGTTCAAATTAAAGTACAATTCTCTATAGGATATTAATAAAATATTTTATTACACATTTACTGTTTTCCTTTTTCACAAATAATGTGCCCACAGGTAGAAAGTGCAGGAAAGGTGAATTTAAGTAAAACACTGCAGGCATAGGATGTCCATGCATGTGCCACATGTCTCGTGACATTTCTAGTGAATTTCAGCCTCATTCACCTGGCCTCACATTTTACGGGGAAATCACACCATTCTGTTCATTTTCTTTCATTTCTTGCTTATGTGTATGATAATAATAATTGTATAATAAAGGTATAAACCAGTCAAGGATAGTTTGGTATCCCCTGCCCTGCCCCACCTCACATAATCAGATAATATACAATGGAAACTGTGCATTTGTTTCTCTTAAGCTGATGATACCTACACCTTATGTGAAGTTTCCATGTGATTAGAAACAGAAACTGAAGTCAGCAACATGCAAAAGGAAAACCTGACATAGCACACTTATGAAGATAAAGTGCAAGGGAGATGCACAGTTGCCAAAAAACATGGGTGTTATTTGCAGTACACACACACACACAAAGTTCATGGGACAATTCCATTGTCTTTTCATCCCATTTTCCACAAAGCTTTGGAAGACCCATTGTGCATATGTGTGTATACGTATATAATTCAGTCAATAAAAACAAAATGTCCTGGATAAATTACCTGCAAATTTTCTTGCCTGCAATCCTTTTACTTCTCCTGTGGACACCTGTACTGATCTGGTTCCCATCAATGGTTACAGGAGTGAGTGAACTTTGAGATGACCCTTCTGGGCTTGCATCAAAATGAACTATAAAATTAATCACATGTAATAATATCACCCAAACTTATTTTCTTTCAAAGTATAAACTATTAATAACAGCAATTTAAAGATTTCAAGCCTTAATCAACCTTCCATTCCACAAGCAACCACATAATTTCTGGTTAGATGATTCAGGTTCCATCTAACCCAACTCAAAACAAAAAAAATCTATTTCTCACTTTTTAACTGCCTACAAAACGTCTGATTAAGCATTACTTTGAAGACTTTTGCCTTAAGCTCTTTTAACAGTACAAGTGAGGATGGGCATTGTTGCAGTTTGGAGGAAAAGCAAGCATTGAAGCAAAACAGACTTAAATTTGGTCTACCACTTACTAAAGAACTTTAGTGACTAGTGTGTATAAATATTACTGTACTATATATAGGACCCCTGGTGGCTTAATGGGTAAGCTAACAAATACTAACGAGCCGATTCATTTCAACTAGCTGCTCTGACAGAAAAGACCTGGAGATCTGCTCCAATAGAATTACAGCCTAGGAAACCCTACGGGGGCAGTTCTGCCTCATCACATTAGGTTGCTACGATCAGAACAGTCTCAACAGTACACAACAGCAATGGCAGCATTTGAAAGGATTGCTGCTGCTGTTAGTGCAACCCTCTATAGGGTATCCAAGGAATGGCTAGTGAGTTTGAACCACCAACCTTGTGGTGATGAGTCTAGTGCTTATACTACAGCGCCACACCAGAACTCCACTTTGAAGTATTGCTATAGTTGGTAAGTGCTGTTGAGTTGGTTCCAACTCATAGCGAACCCTTATAGGGTTTCTGAGGAAGCTGGTGGATTTGAACCACTAACCTTGTGGTTTGCAGTCCAATGCTGATCCAACAGTACCATACCAGGAGTCCATATTAAAGGAGAGTAGGTCATATAAAAATTCAAGGATTTGATAAGATATGGAATAAAGTTCTGGTTCTTAAAGAATGATTATATAAAGGGCACTCACTGATGTCCATGTTTATAACAATATTACAAAACTTCTTATCTGGTACCTGAGGCTGGTGTAGAGCTGCTACTGAAGAGACTGCTTGGCAACCGTTCAGGGTTTAAATTGTGCTTAATGGACTTCCTTTTCTTACTGGAGAAGCCGTGAGATGAATCTACTGGTAGTTTACGCTTAGCATTTGGTGTAAGAATCATCGGTGATACAGACACCTGGGCTGAAAAAAAAAAAATGTTGTTTCTCCCTGACTTGATAAAATACAAATATTTTATATAACTTCATATAAGGTTATTACTACTACTTAGATCTAATCAGTAGGGACTAGAGGATACATTCACAATATCAAAAATATACTATGCAACTAAATTAATATTGTGTGATTACTTAGAGGCAATATTCTTAAGAAACAGCAGTAACAAACAAAATACAATAAAAGATGACATAATACACATTAAAAAATATTAATGTAAGAAAAAATTCTAACAGATTTAAGGCAAAAAATGAACAAAGTATTATTTTTGCTTTTCATCATGTCTGAATATTAACTTCAGTTAACTTCTTTAATATGGAAAATAAAACATCATAGTATGTTTGTCTATTGTTGTTGTTAAGTGCCATTAAGTCGGTTCCGACTCAAAGCGACCCTGTAAAGGGTTTCCAAGGAGCAGCTGGTGGATTTGAACTGCCGACACTGTGGATCAGTCCCATGCTGATCTTACAGCGCCACACCAGAAGCCCTGTTTATCTATTAGGACTGACAATTTCAGACACAAGCAAACTAGGATAAAAAAATTAGCATATACTAATTCAACTTCTGGTTTTAAAAGAAAAATGTAAGAGTGTGTGTTTAAATGAATATGCTTTTGCTTCTAGGCAGAGCAGAAACAAAGACAGGAAAACCTACTGGAGCTATTTTCACATATTCAGTAACTAAGTTCTAGGTAACAGAAAAGCATGATTAAAAAGATTTAAAAGAAATTCTTATCCAGTACATATTCTAATATGTAATCAGCATTGTCACCAAATAGTATTATACATTTCCACTGAAAATGTTGTTTGAATTTTATTAAAAATAAACTAAAGCTAGGTAATTATTATTATAATTATTTCGTAGAATATGAGACACATTTTCATTTAAATAAATATGTATAATACCTACCGATTTTTTCTTGCTGAGGTGTAAAAGAGGGTGTTCGGTTAGATTTAAGTTTACTTAAAGCTCCACTAACAAAATCTGAAATGCAAGGCATATGTAATCACATAATCAATTACAACTGAACATTTACTTATCTTATGCCAGTAGTAATCCATACTAATATTATGATCTTCTTTTAACAATTTTTTATCAGCTTATACATTTTAAAGTCATTTAAGATTATAGAAAAGAAACTAACGGCTATATTTTATTTCATTCCCCATTTATACTACTATTACTCCTCAAAAACCAAGACATACAATACAAATGAAGCACAACACAAGTATATATAATTTACAGAAAGAGTATGGAAGAAGGAATCATTGCTTATTGAGGAAGAAAGGAAATGGAAATGAGAAAAAGCTTTGCAGAGGAAGTGAAACCTAGATGGTGTTTTGAAGAACTAGCAGGGTTGATTAGATAAGAAGGCAGCATTCCAGCTAAAATGAGTAGCACATACAAAGGCATGTGTCAAAACAGGATCTATGCACACTAGACACCAGCTTTATACTACTGGAGTAGAAAGTGGGCAGTGGAGAGTGTGAACATTTGGCAGAACAGAACTGTGTGCCATTTTACATAATGCGGATTTACCAAAGGCAGCACAGAGCAACACTGTCAAATCTGCATTTTAGAAAAGTCACTTTGGAGTAGTGTGACAAATAAATTTAAAGGTGCAAGCCTTTTTATAGGCAAACTAGTTGGAGACTTCTGTAAGTAAATTAGTCATTCAACAAAAATTTACTTCATTCCTACTAGGGAATGCTGGAGTCCCGGTGTGGTACTATGGGTTAGGTTAGTACACTGAACCACAAGGTTGGCGTGAACAGCAAGGTCAGCGGTTCAAGCTCACTAGCTGCTCCTCAGAAACCCTATACAGGGTCGCTATGAGTTGGAACCAACTTGACTGCATTTAACAACAGGAACAATGGGAGTCCTGGTTTGGCGCTGTAGGATAAGCACTGGACCTCAATTTTGGTTTGAACCTTAAGGTCAGTGCTTCAAATTCACCAGCTGCTGCTTGAAAACCCTATACAGGGTCACTATGAGTTGGAACTGATTCAATGGCACTTAACAACATGTGTCAAGTTTATGCAATGAGTAGGAATACAACAGTGTCCAAGATAGGTATAGTCTTTATCTTTATGGACTTTATTCAAGTATAAGAAACAAACATTAAATGTAATAAAGAAGTAAACATGTCCATAGAATAGGTAGTCTGATAAAAGTACAAACATAACAACAGAGCCATAAATGAGACCGAGAAATGAGAAGGTTCCCTGAAGAAATGATATTTTAGTGGACACCTGAAGAAAGAGTACAAATTAATGAGGTCAAGAAGCAATAAAAATTGGAAACAAGGATAAGCACTGACTTAACAAGACTTGCTTATCAGCGAGATGCAGAGATGAGAAAAGAATAGCTAAGGACTCCTAGAGTCTGATTCTGATGACTGAGTGGACAACACTATCGCCAAATAATTAAGGCAATTATGCTAAGAAGTGTTAGATGACACACCTATGAGATACCAAAGTGGATATGAATCAATTTGTGGAAAGATAAAGACCGAAAACGTAAATCTGGAAGTCACCAGTTCAGAAACAGCAGGTTTAAGCCAAACATAAATAACTCAATATACTATATACACCATTCAGTTGTTGTTGTTAAGTGCTGTTGAGTCCATTCTGATACACTGCTCCCCTATGCAAGGTTTCTGAGGAGTAGCTGGTGAGTTTGAACCACCGACCTCGTTGTTCAAACTGACATTTCGGTCCAGTGCATTATCTGCCAGCACTACATTAGGACTGCATTCATTCAGTGGTGGTGGTGGTTAGGTGCCGTGAAATTGATTCCGACTCATAGTGACCCTGTATAGGGTTTCCAAGGCTGTAAATCTTTATGGGAGCAGAAAGCCTCATCTTTCTCCTGTGGAACGGCTGGTAGTTTCGATGACCCTAATGTTTGTAACTCAACTCGTAACCACTACACTACCAGAGCTCCTTTAGTAGATGCTTATTCATTAAGAAACTCTGGGCTGACTACAATGATATATAAAACATAGTCCTTGGTTTTAAATATAGGACAGTCATGCTCAAGAAATAATTAACTATAGAATATTAGAGCAGAAAGAAAGATTATTTTCTCCTTAAGGAGAGATATGAGGGGAAATGAAAAGCTTGCTTGATTTAAGCAATTAAACATTTAAACAAGATTTTGCCAACTGAATACAATTTGAACAGCAGGCATTGCTGTTGTTAACTGTAGTAAAGTTAGTTCTGACTCATACTGACCCTGTATAGGATTTCCTAGGAGCGACTGGTGCGTTTGAACCACCTTACGGTCTAGTGCTTATATTACAGCACCAGAGCAGGGCTCTAATTGAAAACAATTTGAACACTAGGCATAGATAGAAGTAAAACATTATATAAAGGAACAATATAGGCAAACAAACAAAACAGTTTGGAATAATAGCAAAAAATTCAACTTGACTAAAGTATAGGATGAGTAAAAAAGAGACAGGAAATGGCTAGAAAGGTACGCCAAAGCAAGTCTATGAAAAAAATTTAAAAGACAAGCTGTCAAGATCAGTATTAAACTATTATCAATAAAAACTCCTGAAGGATATGTTTGATATATGATTAAGGTTATATTTTAAGAAGTCAACCTAATAGCAATAAGTAGGGTGGATTCAAGGAGACACAAAAACCAAGACCGATGGGATCCTTCAGTAAAGATGAAGTTACAAACTGCAGAGATGGACTTCATCTCTGAGTACAAATCTTACAGAACCCAAATACTGAGTGGATGTAGACAGTGAAGGGAGGAATTCTGGAAAGATGGAGGCATAAACAAACCACCATCCTGACTCTTTCCCTCAAGGACAAGAAAATGGTGCTTGGCTTTGAGGGACTCTGAATCAGAGAGAAGTAGGGAACTGCAGATAGGTTAAGAATCAACAAATCACATAAGGTAGGAACATCACTTTTCCCTTTATCTCTTCCCCTTCCTAGCCACACATTGGCTGTTGTGAACTAGAAAATGAGCCTGCTTCCCTAACCACCACAGCCCCTGCCCCAAAATCCACGTGGCAGGCCTCCTTGAGGGTCGGTGTACAGTATTACTATCCCTCCCTCAGCTGGTAAATGTTGGCTGCTGGACTGATGCCAACAAGGTTCAGGTCTCAAATGGAGACAGCTCCTCTAACCACCACGGGAGCTCTGAAAGCAACAAGCCAGACCTCTGAGTCATGGGGGGACTCTTAAACCAACAAGCCAGATCTCTTGGAGGTCCTTCTGAAGAGAGCCAGAGGAAATGTGCTGGTGTTCCTGCCCACACCCCTCGACTACTAGCTCAGATATAAGCAGTCCTCAGAGAGCAGAGACAAAGAAGACAAAGGCATAATAACCTGAGAGAAGAAAAGTGAAAATTTCCCTACTCTAACAAAGACACGATACTACAAATTGAAAAAGCTCAAAGAACTCAAAGCAGGATAAACCCAAAGGGATCGACACCAAGAAACGGCACAGTTAGGTTCCGAACATTTAAAGAGAAAGAGAATCCTGAAAGAAGTAGGAGAAAGCAAATTGTCACATACAAAGATTCCCAAAAAGATTGAAAACGGATATTTTCTCAGAAATTTTGAGAGCCAGAAGACAACAGAATGATATATTTTAAGTGTGGAGAGAACTGTCAAGCAATATATATATATACTTAAGGTGCAGAAAGAAAGGAAAACTATCCTTCAAGAACAAGGGTGAAATAAAGACATTCTCTGACAAACAGAAGCTGAGAGAATTCATATCCAGATGACTAACTCTACAAAAAACACTAATTGTTGCTAAGTGCCGTCGAGTCGATTCCGACCCATAGTGACCTGGTATACGATTTTCAAAGGAGCAGCTGGTGTGCTTGAACCTCTGACATTGCAGTTCAATCGACTTTGCAGTCTGACGCATTAGCCCACAGCGCCACACCACGAGTGCCCATAAGTTGCTCCGTGGGAGAAAGATGAAGCTGTCTGCTCCCACTAAGCTATAAAGCCTTGGAAACCCTAAACGGATTGTTATGAGTCAGAAGTGACTTGACAGCACTTAACAACAACAATAAGGAGAGCTGTAAATGAAAGGGAGAAGACATAAGAAAGTAATTCCAAGATATACACAAAGGGAAATATATGGACAAGTGTAAGTGTTTACTAATAAGGTATTCATGCTTTCTAACTAAATGTTTTGTTCTTCATATTTTTAAAATAGCAAATATAAAAGGTAAGGATACAACTATATTACAGAGCACACGAACTATAAAGATGTAATTAATGATCACAAAAGGGAGAGGAATGGTATAGGTATACAGAATTTCTTGTATGATATTGAAGCTAAGTTGGTATCAATCTATCCTAGAAAGTTATGTTGTTGTTGTTAAGTGCCATTGAATCAGTTCCGACCCATAGCAACCCTGTATAGGGTTTCCGAGGAGTAGCTGGTGAGCTTGAACTGCCAACCTTGCAGTTCAAATGGCTTTGCAGTCTGACACATTAACCCACAGCACCACACCAGAAAGTTATTATAGAAACCTTTATTAAGCAAAAATATCAAAATGTGAAGCTACTGTTTCTCAATGTATCCTTCAGCACGTTACTTTCAATGTTGAACAGAACATCTAGAAAACTGATCAACAAGGAAACAGAGGAGGGCCTGAATGACATTATAGATCAAGTAGACTTAATAGACATAAACAGAATGTTGTTGTTGTTAAATGCCTTGGAGTAGATTCCGACTCATACCGACCCTGAAAAGGGTTTCTGAGGTTTTAAATCTTTGTGGGAGAGCAGAATGTCTCGTCTTTCTTCCACAGAGCAGCTGGTAGGTTTGAACCTACAACCTTGTAGCTAACAGTCCAGTGCTTATCCTATGGGGCTACCTCGCTCCCTTATATAGAATATTCCACCCCAAAATAGCACAATATACATTCTAATCCAGTGCATATAGATCATTCCATACAGCTTAGCCTTGCCTCACACCACACAAAAAGCAAATTCAAAAGGAATGAAGGGGCTAAATGTGCCAACTAAACCCATAAAATAATGGTAAGAAAATCCAGGGCAACGCTGTTAGGGTTAGCATTCACCATGGCTTATCTGCACAAACAGCACTGTTGTTCTTGTAGTACAGCAGTCAGTTCCAACTCATAGCAACCCTTATAGCATTTCTGAGGAGTGGTTGGTGGATTTGAACCACCGACCTTGCAGTCGAGAGTTTATCCTATAGTATACCAACAGCATAGGACATAATAAATGGGACCTCATATTAAGCTACGACTGGAAGAACATCTTTGTAAATCATATATGATAAGAACCTAATAACCAAAATAGATATACAACTTTAAAACAAAAAGACAAATAATCTAATCATTAAAAAAGGATTTCAATGAACATTTCAGCAAAGAAGACAGTCAAATGGCCATCAAACACATGAAACGATGCTCAGCACCATTAACCACCCAAAACATGCAAACAAAAATCACAATGAGGTATCAATTCACTCCCCCTAGGATGGCTTCTGTTTAGTGTATAGTCTTAAATAATTCATGCCACTAAGTAGTTCAGTGAGTCTTGGTGTGGTGCTGTAGGATAAGCAATGGACTGCAAACTGCAAGGTCAGCAGTTCAAAGCCACCTGGAAACCCTATATAGAGTCACTAAGAGTCAGAATCACCTCAATGGCACTTAAAAACAATTAAAAAACCTAGTTCAAACTCTGACCCCACACGTGCATTACTATCGAACATTTCTGACTATTCATCTTCAAGTGTGAATTTTTCAAATCAGGGAATTTTCTCAAATATTTTAATAAAGTTATTTTTCTAGTCAGAAACCTTTAATGGTTCACCAATACCCACCTCACTATTCTATTCTTTAGCCAGGCTCACCGTGATACAATCCTAACCTTAACTATGAATCCTTCACTGGAATTAGGATGGTTTTTTTAGAGACACACAGACTACCCTACACATGCTTTTCTTCCCCAGCATCCTTCCCAATAGGATTCAAACATTCAGACCTCTACCCAACTCCCCCAGAGTCTACCCATTCTTTAAAAAGTCTTAAGTTCAACCTTCTCTTTAATGAGTCCCTGATCACTACAACCCAGGGGAACTTTTCTCTTTTAAACATGTTACATGTTTCTGCTACTGATTTAGCACTTAATATTAGACTACATTGCTATTTTTAACTCTTCACATGTATTTATTTGCAACTATACTGTAAGCACTCTAAAGACAAGCACCATAGCTTGTACTTCTTTATGAATGAACACATTTTAGAATGAGGTTTTAAATAAAAGTATTTTAGACTTCAGATACAAATGTACCAATACACTTCCATAACATGGCCCATCACTCACCTCCGACACTTTGTCTTTGCTTTCTCTTACACTCACCAGGAGATTCATATTCACCTTCTTCAAAGGCGTCTAGCGATGGAGTAGCACAGAGACCATCAATACCCAACATAGCTGGTATCTTTTCCAGGATACATTCTGGCACATGTCCTAAATGAAAATGTTCACAAGACATTATTATCCTTCCTCTACCCTCAAAAAAATATTTAATATATTAACTTTTCTAGCAGCTGTCTTCTCACTTAAAGAAATCCTGTCATTGAAGTGTACAATGACATCTTACCAATATCTGAAGCATGATCAATAAAAGTCTGTACTACAGCCGCCTGCAATCGGAGTTTTTTTTCTGTGTTAGCAGACATCTTTTCATGTCCCTCACTTGTCTGAAGAAGGTTTGGTGCAAATATTACTGCAAGGTTGATGCTATCCATCTTATTCTCACTGGATCTTAAAAGAAGTAAGATTTCATGAGATAGGACTAAAGAGGAAGAGAGTTTAAAATAATGTACTGAGCATATTTTTATGACTCCTTATTAGTCATACAAAGGGGCCTCAAAACGTTTGTGTAAAACTTCCACGATCTCCATGAACTTTTTCAAGCCCCCACATACACAATACAAAACACAGAGACCACATGACTGACTGTCAGGAACACGGATGGAACCAGAAAACACATACATCATAGAGCTTTCCCAGGTTCATACTTTACTGTGAAGTAACTGAAGATTTGTAGAGCAGGTCATCAATTTTACATTTAACAAATCACATACTTGGTTTCATTTCAATGATTGTAATCTCCTCCAGGTAACATCACTTGCCCCACTTCTTCCCTGTGATTGTGTCCATTCTACCTTCTTTCCCAAACCTTCTGAATTCTGTCCTTAGGTAAATGCTGCCCTCTTGATCTTGAATGGTGTACAACAATCTTGAATTGTTGACCCCTCTATGTAGCTATCTATTGCTCGACTGAAAACTGAGCCAGGAGGGTAAGTTTGGTTCCAGACCTGAAGGGTAACAAAGAGCCATACTCTCAGGTTCCTCCAGTCTCTTTCTGACCAGTAAGCCAGCTCCTTTTTGTTCCACATTTTCTCCCACTCTGTCCAGATTCTTTTCAGTAATGCCTTTCAGAACAGTTAGTAGTGGCAGCCAGGCACCATTTTTCTGGTATCAGGGTCATGAAGACTGATGTTCACATGTTCTGTTAGTCCACTGGACTAATAGATTCCAGGCTTCATCACTCTTTTTCCTCCCCAAAGGAAGAGATCAATAATTGTACCTTAGCTCTTTTAAGATCTCAGTTGCTTACTTACAAATGTTAAGATACAGATTATTTTTGTGGACTTGTTGTTGTTCTTAAGTGCTGTTGACTCAGTTCCTACCCATAGCAACCCTGTATAGGGTTTCCAAGGAGCAGCTGGTGAGTTTGAACCGCAGACCTTGTGGTTAAAATAAACTATGCAGTCCAGCGCATTAACCCACAGCGCCATACCAGGACTCCATCTTTGTGGACTATGCTATGCCAACTGATGATTGTGTCCCCCCTGAGACTATGGTTCTGAGTCAACCCCCAAGACCCATCAACTAGTTCCCTACAGGTATTTATTTGGTAATGTCTTTGAAATTTTCATAATTTTGTCCCTTGTATGCTCTACTCACTTATGTTTGCAGCAAAGGTCAATACTCATATATAAATATCCTCTATCAGATCTTTATCTATTTGTGTTTCTCCCATACCGGTTCAATCACTGTATTTATCCAAGTATACATAGATGACTCTTATTGCAGGATTCAACAACATACTTTCTGTAGCAGGAGAATATGCAGTATCTTATAGAAAAATCTCCATTCCAAATAAAATGCATTATTATAAGGGTAAGTCTTTATCTAGATGAGAAATTAAACGATTATGTCCTAAGACTTTTAATTAACACTTACCTAAGGGAAACAGTCCTGAGAAAGTTAAAGAAGTATCTTAATATATCAATTGTCCGGTCAGTCATAAGACAAGAGAGCAATAATGTAGCTTTATTCTTCTCCTCTGTTCCTAACTGTTGAGCTTTGAAAAGTGCTTCATGCAAATCAGCTGGGAGAATGGGTTCTGGCAACTCCCTAAAAAACTTCTTCAGAAGTCCTGCAATATCACATGGTGGTGCAGAAGACAGGCAACTTTCCCCATGATCCAGTTCATTCTGAAATACATGAATAGTACTGAGTGTACTTTGTACTAAGAATTCACTGCAAATAAAATCCTTTCTCACAGAGCTTTCTTTAATAAACGTCTTTTAACTCTTGTTTTAATATATATTACACCTTTCCAGATGCCTCCTGAGTGGGAGAACTGGCTAAAGGTTAATGGTTCAAACACACCCAGAGATGCCTTATAAGACGGGCTTAGCCATGTGCTTCTGAAAGGTTTTCTTGAGAACCCTATGGAGCAGTTCGACTGCACATGTGGGTCCCTCGCCATGAGTAGGAATCAATGGCAACAGTCAATCATATCTTGTTGAAAGACTAACATGAAAAAAAAAAACTATTTGCAAATTCAATTTCAATTATTCATAAAACAGTTCTAAACATTTCAAATGTTAAAACCAAAATCATACAAGGGTACAAATGAAAAACTATATAGTTCAAAAATAAGTCTACCTTTAATGTTCTGAGACGAATAACAGATCCTGATTTCCTAAAAAGTCCTTCTGTATGAACATGTTCTTCTAAAGATGTACAAGCATCAACAAGAAAGCTAAAAGAAAGAAAGCTTTTCAGCAGAACAGCAACATGTCTTATCAAATCCTATTCTGCCCAAGCACACAAGCAGACCACATATACCCTCTCTCACTTATCAACATGGCTAGGTTCTATCAGAAAATGGAGGATGACCACACTGGATCACAAAATGGACAATGAATACATCATTATTGATGTTGTTAACTGCCGTTGGTCAGTTCCGACTCATAGCAACCCTCATACAACTACCAAATGAATCATTACATAACTGTCAAACCACTGAGAATCATGGTCCCATCAAGCTGACATACAGCCTTACCCATCACAGTCAGCAAGACTCTCTCCTTGCACCTTACCATTTGTTACTGCCAGACATGTGCTGTTAATGTGCAAAAGAGCCAGACACAAATTTTTACTGATGTTGTAAACACAAAAATGTTGGCTAACAAGATAATCGGTAAGTGGGGAAAGGGTGTATTATGTCAGCTTCTGGAATCTTTGATGCCACAAATTTTTAATCTTGCTGATAAAAGATTACTTTTCATTGTTTCTCTTGCTTCTAAACTTTTTCTCTAAGGGCTGACTGCAAAGCCATTTGAACTGCAAGGTGGGTTGTTCAAGCTCACCAGCCGCTTCTCGGAAACCCTATACAGGTCGCTATGGGTTAGAACTGACTCGATGTCACTTAACAACAACAACTTCAATGAGCTCTCTCAATTCTACATACCTCTCAAGCTATCACTCTTCTGTATTTTCCTTCAGTGTATACGTCTTCTCTTTTTAACTGCATCCACTTTTTCATTTTCTAGTCTATACTCATCCCTCTCCAATTAGACTTTTATTCCCATTACTAGAATGAAAGGAGTCCCTGGGTGATGCAAATAGTTAGCAAGCTGGCTCGTTAAGGAAATGTTGGTGGTTCAAGTCCACCCAAAGGCATCCTGGAAGAAAGGAGGTCTACTTCTAAAATATCAGCCAATGAAAACTCTACAGTGCTTCGCTGGGTGATTCTTTGGAACACAGTGCGACTCTATTCCAAAGTTCTATTCTGATACACACAGGGTCACCATGAGTCAGAATCTATCCCTATTGAATAAACTGGAGTAAAATTGTCCTAAAGCAACAAAGTGCTCATAATGCTTTGGTTGATATACCAATTAAAGTCTATATTATACCATGAAAGTAGCCAAAGTAAGACATACTTTAAATAGATAGACAATGAATCAGGTAGGAGTTAATTAAGGCAGCTTCTTTATAAGCATTTTAAAGCTATTCTTTAAAGTCACTCCTCCTTCAGTAATTTCTAATGCAGTCAGTCCAAAGGTTATTTACAAATAATAAGCAGCATGGAAAAGCTGAAGTGTCAAATAATATATATTTACAGATTCAACAATATCGTAGTTTTAATAGCTAGATATTAACATTTCTAAAACCAACAAAAATATACAAACTATTACTGCATTTTACAGATATAAATTTTGACAAAAAAATGAAAATTATGATGTAATAGAACAAAAATAATTTGCTTCCTAACATTTACATATTCTGATCCTTAGCATTCAGTCCTGGGAATAAGTATAAAATTACCAAGTTACAATAAAATATGCAAAAGTTAATTTTTTTTTTTTTTACATTAACTGATGCTGAGAGATGAATCATGTGTTAGTTTCAAGCAAATGTGTGAATCAATTAACATTTGTTTTTACAAGTTCTAATATCATTTTGAAATTTTTATTCTTTATTTCAGACTTCACTCACCTTGGAATGTGTCCATATTCTGGTACAAAAGAGTGGGGTAAAGCAATAAAAGGTACTCCAAATACTTTACCCTAAAATGACAAAACGGCAAATTCAGTTACTTTAAGACAAACATTAGGCATAATATAAGTTTTCTTAAACATTAGGCAATTTAAAACCCCAGAAAACTTGAAAAAGAAAAATATGAGCAGTCAAAACAAAATAACCAATTATTTCAGGTGCATACGGTAACAAATAATTACTCTGGTAGATATTATACAAGGAGCCCTGGGAGCCTAGTGGATTACAAACTGGGCTGCTACCCAGAAGGTCAGGAGTTCGAATATAACAGCTGCTCCACAAGAAAAAGATAAGGCTTTCTGTTCCCACAAAGACTTACAACCTTTGAAGCCCTATCTATACAGGGTCGCTATGAGTCGGAACTGACTCAGTAGCATACAACTACCACCACCAGTAGAACAAAGGTGACCAAGAGAAAATCATTGTCTCAAACAATCTGGTAAATTCAGCCTGTAACCTGATACTAGAGCATCAATTCTATTGTTGTTGCTTTTCAGTGCCTTTCAGTCGGTTCTGACTCATAGTGACCCTATATGGCCTCATGGTTCTTTAAACATCAGTTTATGAATACTAATTTGAATAACCAAACTAAGTCACGGATAAACAAAGTTTATCTCATGTTACTTACTGAGTACTTCCTAAAATTATATTAGTAGTTATTTTCAATCCTAATTTTTAAATTATTTTTTTCTCAAGCATATACACAAAACAACCACAGTTCAAGTCGGAACCCACTTGAAGGCACGCAGCTAGCCAACCAACCTATAAAGGAGTGCTCTTCAAACTGTGCTTTGAGGTAACCAAGACAGGAAATGGGCAAATACTTAGTGCAAATCTCATCTAAGAAAAAAACTATTTGGTAAACACTTTTTAAAAATTCACACTCAAATTTGAATACTGTGAAGATCCCAAAAGTAAATATGTGTGCTTGTTAACTTGGGTGTTTTTGTATACCTCTAAATAAAGAATTTTCTGATATCTTCACGTGCACATTTTAACATCTTAAGCTGTAGCACTGATCAGGAAGACTGGGGTTTTTCATTGTACTTAAAAATAAATTCAAGCCTGTTGTTATATTTGTTATAAAAAAAATTAAGACTATGGGCACACCTAATCTTCACATGTTAATTTACCTTCTTACATATATCTGTTCTCTATGAGTGCTCTTATGTTTCAAAAGCAACTTATCTACCCACATATTTATAATAAATATTAATTTGGCATTAATGATTCACCATAGTAACAATTTTCAAGCCTTCTTTGAAACATCTGGGTGCATTTAATTGACGAGTAGTCTAAGACGTAGAGGACACTATAGTGATTAAGACAGCAGGCTCATAGAGTCAAGACTGTTTTAAATTCAGGCTCTACTAGATTAGCTAAATGGCCTTGATCAGTTAGTATTCTCTGTGACTTCGTATCCTCACATAGATTCCAAGTTAGAGTTGTCGAAAGAATTAAAACACAAAGAATTGTCTGATACACAGCAAGCCTTCACAGAATATTATTGTTACAACTATCATTTGATCTTTTAAAAAGAGATTATATGGGTAATCCCTTATTTGGGTACATCAGAATTTGTGCAGCAACAACAAAAATGCAAAAATAAAATACATGCTGAAACTGGTATCATACTACAATTCTTGCATGTATCTAAAATTCATGTTTTGGTTTTTTTCCCATTAAAGGATTTCATTATCCTCAGTAACTGACTTCACAAGTGCTATAATTTAATCTCATAAAATAACACTGAAAACATTTTATATATTGGAATATCACTTCATAATGTCATTTTATAAAAGATTTCATTACTTACCTTAAAAAACTCAAAAATTACTTTAATTAACAAAGAGCAAAAGAAATGCCATTTCTAAAGTAATTCCCTCCCATTCTTTAAAGATTTACTGTTGTTGCTGTTAAGTGCCACTGAGTTAAGTGCTACTGAGTCTGTTCTGCCTCATAGTGACCTTATATATGGTTCCCAAGGAGTAGCTAGTGGATTTGAACCACCGACCTTGCAGTTCAAACCCACTTTGCAGTCCAGTGCATTATCCTATCAGATTAGCACCTAAAAACTCTGAGGGCAGTTCTACTGTCACATGGGGTCACTATGAGTCATAATCAACTCAATGGCACCCAACCACAACAAAATCTAAACTTATATAGCATGATTAAGAATTCGAATGTAGGTCAACGATCACTACAACCACCATCATTAGTTGAAAAAGTGGTCTGAGACATTTACTAAAAACTAGGTGCTGTAGGTCAGTTTGAACTGCAAGGGTGGTGGTTCAAACTCACCAGTAGCTCCTCAAAAACCCCATACAGAGTCTCTATGAGTTGAAATCAATTCAAGGCACTTAACAACACCACCAAGCAATCCAAGGAGAGCTATTATTATAGTTTATAAACTAGGAAACTGAGGTATAGTAAAACTACCACTCCCAAATCACACAGCTAATAAATGTAGTATAAAAATCAAACCCAGGTGTATGGGATTCTAAAGGCAAGTATCACGTTTTCTTACTAAGAGGTAAAAAAAAAAATCTGGATATATATATATTTATATTTATATTGCTTAGTACTGCCACACAAACTCCAAAAGCTTTTTCAATCATTTACTTCTGGCTTCACATCTTCATTTTTTAAAAACAATGGTGTGTCTTAAAAGCATGAAGTAGGGAAGACGGGCTGCTTCTGCTTCACTGACATGGCACTAGTTGAAAACATAGTAAATTGGTAGTGTCTGGAGACATTTTGATGGTCACAAGTGGGAGCACCTAGTGAATGGTGGTGACGGCGGTGGTGGTGTTCCATGGAGTCGGTTTCGACTCACAGCGACCCTGCATAGGATTTCTGAGGCTGTAAATCTTTACCGAAAGTCCTGGTGTGGCTATGTGGGTTAATGCACCAGACTGCAAAGCCGTTTGAACTACAAGGTCCGTGGTTCAAGCTCACCAGTTGCTCCTTAGAAATTCTATAAAGGGTCGCTGAGTCAGAATCGACTTGATGGCACTTAACAACACAACACCAAATCTTTAGGGGATCAGAAAGCCTCATCTTTCTAGCGTGGGACGGCTGGCAGTTTCGAACTGCTGACCTTGAGGTTAGCAGCCAGATTCGTAACTACTACCAAGAACGCTGTTGAACATCCTCAATGCAAATGACAGCTTCCCTATCCCTTTCCCAATAAAGAATTGTTGTTGTTGTTGTTGTCAGGTGCCGTCGAGTCGATTCCGACCCATAGCGACCCTGTATAGGGTTTCCAAGGAGCAGCTGGTAAGCTTGAACCGCCGACCTGGCAATTCAAACGGCTTTGCAGTCTGGCGCATTAACCCTTTGGGCCACACCAGGACTCCCATTTACTCAGACCAAAATGTCAATAGTGCTGGGATTGAGAAACCGTGCTCTAAACTTTGTAATTTTCCATCAAAAACAGTCAAGAATGTCATTCTTTACATTTCAGCAATTGACCATCTGGATAGAACGCCAACCTAAATTGAATTCCATATTCTCTTTTTGATCACACAAAGTGAACATTTTAGCAAATTCTGGTAATTAGTGATGGTATAGGGTGTATCCTTTATCTAAAGCTCCTTCCCCAACACTTACCCCTGTTTCGGCAGCTGCTGGTTCGTGTCTCTTGCGATTGCTCGGCCAACGGCCACCCTTGACCTTAATGCCATAGACAGCCCGAAGCTGTTGCAGCACGGCCAACCTTATTAGTCTCTGATCCCACATCCCGGACACCTCTCCCACTCTCTCTCGAGCAGGATTCGGGTCTTGATTCTAGTATGCCACCAAATCTTCCAATTTCCAAACACCCTCAGGTTTGTGCTCTGCTCCGTTGCTTTCAAGTCACTTCCGGATGTCCTCGGGCCGCCGCCCCTTCCTCGATCCAGTATGCACTTACACTGACCCTCTTCTCTTGGCCCTTCCTTTGATCTAGCCACACCTCACCCTTTTTTCACTTATACCGACCTTCTTTCTGTCACCCGATCCTTTCGGCCACTTTCCCAGACCTCCCTTCTTTCTTCCTAATTCTCCGTTCCTCCTTCCAACGTCTGTTTCCTGCAACTCTCCCCTTCCGGTGACTTCCTAAGACCCCAGTTATATCCCAAACCTCATTTTGCCGTCTTCGTTTCTCCTAACTGTAAAGATCTTCTCCGCCCCGCTACCCCCGTAGGCTCAGCCGGCGTTCGCTTCGCCGTCCCCGCACTTCCCCCCACCCTTCCCTAGCCCAGCCTCCGGACCAGCGGCTGCTCAGGGGCCTCTTCCAGTCCCGGTGCCCGCCCGGGCTGGCCGCCGTCGTCGTCACCCCGTTTCACAGGCTGCTGCCACCCTCCTCCGTCAGCCCGTCTCCGATCCCTAGCCAGCACATCCTGGTGAGCTCACAGAAGCCAAGAAGCGATCCTCACGCCCTCGCCCCACCGCCTCTGCACACAGCCGGAGCCACCGCAGCCGTCGCAGCCGCAGTTCCAGAAAAGGCTCAAACGCCAGCGCCAAGCAGCGCTCCGCACTCTGATTGGCCCGCTTCCCTTTTCAAAATCAGGACCTCAGAGGGTGGCCAGAAACTGCCTGTCTAAAGAGGTGCTGGTAAAAGGGAGACCACAACGGGTATGGAGTGTAGCAGGTAGAGCTAAGAAACATGTAAAGAAAGATGGACTTCACTTGCGCCTCCATGGACATATGTTTGGAGAAAATACGGTTTTAAAGTGTGTCTGAATATAGCGGACCAGAGCCTCAATAACATATTTGGGCAAATATAATAGACATCTCATTTTTCTGAGCTTCGCCCTAAGCCCTCTTAGGCGAAACCTACTAGACCAGAAGTGAGTTGGGATCCACACCCGCATGTTTCAGTGTGGCGCTGTAGGGTTACCCCTGGACTGCTAACCCCAAGATTGACTGTTCATACCCATCAGTCCTAACTTCGAAACCCTATACAGTGTCGCTATGAGTCGGAACCCACTCGACAGTGCTAAACAACAGCAACCTGGGTGCGGAATCCTGGTGGTGTGGCGCTGTAGGATAAGCCCTTGACTTTCAACAGTAAGGCTGGCAGTTAAAACCCACCAGCCGCTCCTCGAAAACCGAATACAGGGTCTCCTATGAGTCGGAACCGATTCGGCGGCACAGGCGCTGAGACGAAACGCACCCAGGCAACCGTAGATAAATGCACCGACCTTCTAACCATAAGGTCGGCAGTTCATACCACCAGCCGCTAAGGGGAGGAAATGCAGACTTTCAGCTCCGGTAAAAATGTGCAGCTTCAGTTCCTTGAAATCCACTGGATTGAATTGAGTTGAGTTGAGCCAAGGTGCAAGGAATACTGGGGATGCCATGGTTTAATCACTGGATTGGTAGCCTCAAGATTGGCTGTTCAAACCCATCAGCCGCTCAACTAGTGGGAGGAGGCTGTGGGCTCCCGTAAAGATTTACCATCTCTGAAACTCTGAGGAGCAGTTTTACTGTCTTCTGTAGGTTTGCTTTGAGTCAGAATGGACTTCAAGACAGTGGTGGGAACTTCGGCTGTGGAAACCATCACACACCCCATCTATTCTGACTCCTAGCAAGCCTGTATAGGGCTTCCGAGGCTGTAAATATTTATGGTGGTAGAAAACCTCTTCTTTCTCACGCAGAGCAGCTGATGGATTTGAACTGCCAACCTTCAGGTGAGCAGCCCAACGCTTATCCTATAGTGCCACCAAACTGGTCCATATTGGGGGACTGATGGTGACGCTTAAATCTTGAATATCCATCATGGAGTGTATAGTGCTGGAGGAAACTGAAATCTGGGGGAGATGGCAGCTGCAGAAGCTTCATGCAGTGGGAGTTGGAATTAAAGGAGTCCTGGGCAAAGCCTGGTTCCTGGCCTTTGCTGAAAGGTTAATTTTGTTGGCAGTTTGGACTGCAGTACTCTTAGTTCCTGCTTCCCGCACACCTGCCTTTGGGCTGGTTTCCCATTTTCAAACACAGGGATTCATTAGGTGGTTTTGTTTTTTTTTTTTTTTTCTGGAGTGTATATGCAACAATATTCATTTAGAGGGGGAGAGTTGTTGTTGTTGTCAGGTGCCATCGAGTCGGAATCGACTCATAGTGACCCCATGCACAGCAGAACAAAACAATGTCCGATCCTGGGCCAACCTCACTACCACTGCCACACTTGAGTCCA